TTTAATTCATTCCAGGAGACTGTTCTAATTTTGAATTATTTAATGTTTGAGTCAGTTTTCTCTATTAGAAATAATGGAAAGTGAATTAATTCATTCCCAGATTCTAAACATCATTCATTTCAATAAACTTAAACAGCAAATACACATAATTTAAGGTGAAAATAATACAATTAAATAGCTTCTTGATAAAAAGCACTAAGTTTAGCGTTAATACGATTTTTCTTATATCGCAAGTACTTTTGACGAGTATTATATCGTCGTCCTCAGGTGAAAAAAGAACAAATTTGAAAATTAGAACATGCAGAGTGTTCCAAGTAGAAAATGGAAAACTTTTCTTGTCAATTTCTAAATTATAACATTCGGTAATTCCGTTGGTCACGTGCAACAAGCTTTTGCGGGTGTTCAAAATATCTTAAATCCACACGACTAGCAGCGCATGTGTTGAGGAGCGATTGTACTAATTGTGCAACTCTTGGCGCTTTTTGGCCCGAAATATGGGTTACTTTATACCAGCGTTTAAACAGCAAAAAGCGCCAAGAGTTGCACAATTAGTATGATCACTCCTCAACGCATGCGCTGCTAGTCATGTTGATTTAAGATATTTTGAACGCCCGCAAAAGCTTGTTGCACGTGACCAACGGAATTACCGAACGTTATAATTTAGAAATTGACAAGAAAAATTTTCCATTTTCTACTTGGAACACTCTGCACGTTCTAATTTTCAAATTTGTTCTTTTTTCACCTGAGGACGACGATATAATACTCGTCAAAAGTACTTGCGATATAAGAAAAATCGTATTAACGCTGAAACTCAGTGCTTTTTATCAAGAAGCTATACAATTTTGGCGTGAGTTTTATTTATTTATCTATTTCAATACAATTAAATGTCCTAAATAATAAATTAAGACATGAAAACAATAAATAAAATACAGAAATACTGTATAATAAAATAAAAATTGCATTTATTGGCATAAACTTTGACATCTTAAATATGACCACCAGATTCACCACACATTTACCACTTTCATGCTTCATGATAAATTCCTTCATCACCTCAGTTGTGATGAAGGAACTTATCATGAAGCATGAAATACTATAACCTTTCTCTTAGGCTTTGTTGCTTCTACACACTTCTCAAGCATTGTGGTTAATAAGTAAAGGTTATACAGTAGAGCGTTGTTTATCTGAAAGCCGGTTAATCAAAAGCGTTCCAGTCAGCAAATTTAAATTTCCACTAGTGCTGCAGCGCTGCAAATTAATTTGGCTATGTCTTGGGCTACTTCAATATTTTTTTTGTTGGTGTGTGTGTTTTAGCTGGCAGCACTGGCACTTTTGAGCGGTGTTTTTCTGAGAACTGTGTGTTGTGCTGAATCGAACGTTTTTGATACTAGATTAACTTCTAAGGTATAATATTTTTCAATATATTTATTTTGTTTGTACAAAATAAAGAAATAATTTTTAACGATACAATAGCCATGATTATTATAAAAATTTTTGTTAGGCTTAACATCGATGAAAATTCAATGCAAAGTGACATGCAATGGAGAAAAATTTCAACATGGGATAGGTTAATATATTTTTTTTACATAATCAGTTATCCGAACAACCCCAGTTCCCAATTGATTCGGATAAACGATGCTCTACTGTATTCAGTTGAACAAAATTTTTGCATATTTTTAACATCTGTAGTTACTTAACATAGATATATGATTTAATTATAATGGTTGCAAAATTTAACACGTTATTGTTAATGTGAGATTGTATTCTTTGTTTAGAAACTTATTTTAAACTTTTTACTTCATGTTTTGTCTGAATAAAATCAAGTTGAAAAATCTTCAGATAAAAAGTTTATCAGGCATATTATGCTTTGTGAGTTTTGGAAAGGACATAACATTGTAGAAACAGTAAAAGAAATTTGTGATATGTATGGGGAATATGCTCTTACACTTTGAACAATTAAATGTGATTTAGAAAGTTTTGTTTGGAAAATTTTGAACTAAAGGATTAAAAAAAAAGTATGGGGTGCCCAAAATCTGTCAACAAAGAAAAATTGCAGGAAGAAATTGTTAAAAATCAATGAATAGCAGACAATATATATAAATAAAACATACCAAAAATAAAAAAAGCATTGAAAACATATGAGCATAACACATGAGTGAGAGACAACTTGGGCACACAACAAATCACATTTGTTTTTAGTGCATTTTTTCATTGCAGTGCAGTTTGAACTCCAAGGCAAATTTTTGTCAAAATTTTGAAGCATTTGAAGTACAAGGTATCACTATATTTTTAATTATACAGTAGTACCTCATACTTCAAATGCTTCAGAATTAGAATTCCCAATCAGACAAAAATTTGCTTTGGTGTTTGAACAGTGCTTCAAAGTTCAAACTGTGTACAAAATGAAAAATGCACTGGAAATGTAAAATAAGCTTCTAAACAAAGAATATAATTGTGAGATTAGCTGCAGGTAGGGGCCCACTCTCTTTGTCCTTTGGATGGCACTTCAATAAATTGTCGGTGGGATTGCAAGATTAGCCAACGTCAAGATGCTGACACAGTTAGGATAAAGTTAAATGCATCCTAACTTGCGAATTGTAAACAAAGATTGAGTAGAAGGGATGATTCAATGGATGAGTAGCGATGTTGGTGTGTAAGCCGATAGGGTGCTGTTCTTGAGAAAGACAGGTTGCCAGGTTAACGGATATAATAACTGTTTAATAAAACAATAAAGCAAATACATATGCTAGCTGCAGTTACACTTATAGGAGGGTAGTATAAGTGTACATCTAAGATTTGCAGTCTACTGACTATTCTAAATCCCAATCTTTTGAGAGAGAGAGAGTTTACAAATGTGTTAAATAAAATACCTCTGAGAGCGTGGATGGTTTCTATCATTGTGGAGGTGTTTCTGATATTTGTCCTATCATACAGAGGTTGAGCTGTGGTCTATGGCTTCCTTTATCATATGGCGAATCTTCTAGCAGTTGTCTTATATGGGCTGGGGATGTCTGTTGAGTATGGCACGACTGGGGACTGATGGTGTTGTCTGCTCCTATGGAGGATAGAGTTTCTTCTGACTACCCCGAGATGAACACCTTGAAGTGCGGATGCTTTGTCCTTATATTCAATTTTGCCTGGGAAAGTGATCAGGTGATCGACTGTTTGGTGATGAATTTGCTGGTGTGAAGTTAGAGGTCTCTGTCAATGATGTTATGATGTCGTCCAAATGAAGCTATCATGACCATATTTGTTGATTCCCTTCTATTTACTCAATTTCTCTTCCTTTAACAACAGGTTGTTTAATTTTACACTCAGATGTTATACTTCTCTCTCAGTTGTTGATAGAAAAGGGTGTCATTCAATCTGTTTTCTATATGATGTTTTCTTAACAATAGCAATGGAGAAATAGGCTTAAGATCCACGCAAAATCGTGCCTATAATCCTCACATAATCTCAAATTAGCAATAATGTGTTAAAATTCACAATTGTGATAATTAAATCACACATCTATGTTAAGTAACAACTGTTAAATATACACAAAAACTTTGTTCAACCCCAATATAACCTTTACTTGTTAATCATGGATCCCAGAAATGTGAGGAAGCAATGAAGTCTAACTAGTAAGAGGATGACTTGAAAAAAGCTAAGATGAAAAAGGAATTTATTGTGAAGCATGAAAGTGGTACATGTGTGACAGATCTGGTGCCCATGTTTAAGCTGCCAAAGTCAATGGTGTGTGACCAATAAATGCAACTTTCATTTTATTATACAATACAGGTATACCTCGCCTTACGTCGGTAATTGGTTCCAGGAAAACGACGTAAGTCGAATTTACCTGTCTCCGAATCTACTTATCACTAGGAAAGCATTTTAAATAATATATGGTTAATAAAAATCTATTTTAAGCTTACAAACAAATAAATTTTAGTTTTTAATATAGTACAAAAAAAGTAATCTAAATTTACGAATGCGTGTACTGTAAATACAGTACATACTTGTATATATTTTAATATGATTTTATGTGCTTTAAACGTTTATCTAGTGATATTACGACTTCAATATTTGTGGCGGACAGACGTAAAGTCGAATAAAATGACTTAAACTTGATTTTTATTTTTCCATATACTTTTTTAACAAGCGACGTATAATCGGGAACGACGTAACTCGAAACCGACGTAAGTCGAGGTATGCCTGTATTTACATTTTATTTATTGTTTTCATGTTTTAATTTATTATGAAGTATGAGGCACCACTGTACTACTATAACATATCATAAAAACATTTATGATGATGATAAAATCTGTGATTCAATGATTAGGTGAATTATTTTTCCTTACTATGTTTTATTTAAACGAAATCTATTCTAAATAGTTTCATCAGTACCATCAGTTTCAGTTACATTTCTTTAAATTAGATAAAGATAATAAAGAACTTAGGTTTTCTAACAGCTAGATTCTATAATAAAAAATGTAGTTTCTAGGTTTTTAAGATTTGTATAGAAACATTTTCTAATTTACTTGTCTTACTTGAGTTAAAAATGATTTAGTTTTGAATTACTGATTTTGCAATTATTTCTGTGCTTGTTATTAAAATATATAAATATGAATATGTAACCAATTATGCTTTGGAATAACAAGCAGAAATCTGTTTCAAATTAATGGTTTTAATTCAGATTTCAATTAAACAGTTCAGATAAGATTTTTGTTAGGTATTATTTATAATTACAGTAGTTTAATTATTGGAATTTTGTGTCAAATTTCTTAAAATTTTGACACAAAATTCTATCAATATTTGATATATTATACATATAATAAATACAACTAATTTGATAATTACTTTAAATATCAGATTAAATGATTACATGGCTGGAAGTAGACAGTTAAGCCATGTTACTTAATTATATAACTTTAATAGCTCAATAAAGGAATCTGGTTGTTCATTTCATATATATTTTATATATATAATTTATATATATTAATTCTTAAAAAATTTCTTAGCAGATGTCATTTGATGATGACGATCAAATTATTGATTTAAAATCATCAAGTGTTAGTATTGCACACGACTACACGAAACGAAAACATGTATTACGTCTTCAACTTCAAAATAAAACTGAATATCTCTTCCAAGCTGAAAATCATTCTTCAATGATAAAGTGGTTGAATGTCCTACAAACTTATTGTTTGGAAAATGATAAGGTATTTATTATTAATTACAGCTTTGAATAATAATAAAATTTAATTTTTAATTATAAGAATTCCTTAACATTCTTATATTAAAACTTTTTTAATAGTAGAATATTCATTAAAAATTAAGAATTATAAATAATATTAGATATTTATCAAATTATACCAGATTGCTATTAATTGACCAAAATTTTATTGGTGATTAGATCAAATGTCTGCTGTAGATTATTCTACTGTTAAACATTGACCATTAAATAATTTAGTTTAGCTAATGAAATTTTAAAGTCTAAAAAAAAACTTATTTTTACTGGGTCTGAAACATTACCAGTTATATAATGCAAACATATCTCTCTTACAGAGATTCAATTTAGAATATTAGAAAGGTATAACCTGCAGATTTACTTAATGTGTGAAAAATGTGAAAACAGTGTGAAGTATTCTTGTGCTTTTCTTTAATGTGTTCTTTTTCCAGATTTTTTAAAAATTCAATTGATATATCAGTCTTTTTTAGATTTTTTTTTAAATCTAAATCTAAGAACTGATTTAGATCAATTAGATTTTTAAAAAATGTGGGAAAAGAATAGATTGAAGAAAAGCATACAAGTACTTCACACTGCTTTCATGTTATTCTAATCATTAATAAATTTTTTAACTGTTTTGTTAATCAGTGAAACCTGTATAATTCATTTAATCTTTTAATGTTACAGTTTTTTTCATATTTATAAAAATGCATAACATTAAATAAATTAATTAATTTATGTAAATATTCTTATTTAAAATACAACAATATTTTATCTTTACTTTCTTTTATTTATCTATATGCTAATAAATAAAAGAAACCAAAATGGAACACACATTCATCTGTATTAGAAAAAGCAGCAGCATATGAACAGCAAATTCAAAATAATAAAGGCAGAATATCGCCGTTAACTTTATCCAAAGCTGGGAAAAAAATGCCTTTCCGACACAGATCACCATCAGGTCATTCTCCTGCAATTAAAACAAGAAGAGCTTCACATGGTGGTAATATTATAACTTGTTTTGTTTTTAATTGAATACAGTTAATACTTTTAAACTTTTTAAAATTATGTTTAATGAATGCATTGATTGCTTTTGAAGAGTTTGAATTTATTTAACGTTATACAGGATGATAAAAAGAAAGCAAAATTAAATATAGAAAATTTCAAAAATACAGAGTCTAGTTTTATCCGCTTTATACCTGCTATATTTAAATATGTAGTACATTCAAAAAGTTTGTGGAAAATGTGTGTAGGTGGAGTGAGAATGACTCAGATTTTTTTAATATATTTGGCAACTATTACTGAATTACAGTGCATGAAGTGATGACATCACAATCAGTTCACAACATGTCTATGTGTGAATTTTGTGACATGGTGAAGGTGAGATTTTGGAGTATGATTTAACATGAAAATATTCAGTATTAAACAAAGAACATCATCAAATTTTGTTCTTTTGAAGAAGAAACTTCATCAAACTCTGAAAATGTTATTTGCAGTTTACAGGGTTCACTTCTTTCTCTTCATGAAAACACATACAAAAGGCTGAAAATTTGTTGCTGGAGTGGTGATTGCCACTGCAAAAAGTGCACCTCAGATGGTCATGAATGAGGAGTTCTGGGACATTTTTAAAAAAACTGTACCACTACTGGATGCAGTGTGTTATGAATACTTTGAGGGTAATGTTGTCTAAATGTATATAGAGTTGATAAAAAAGTGATAAAAATCTTTTCCATAAACTTTTTGAACATACCACATATAATTGTATTAATATGAAATAAATGGTATTAGTTATTCATTCTCATATTGTTTTAAGTTTTTATTTAACATAACCATGTCATAGTGGTGATGATACAATTTGCCAGTTTTTCTGTTTTTTTTTTTAAACTTTATAGATTCTAACAAATTAATTTTTAATAGCTCATTTAGTTTTCCATCCAAACTTGCAAATTAATTCATATTCCAAATTACTTTTCTGAATGTTTCTAAATGATTAAGTGAGAATTGAAATGACCTATTTATTAAAATTATTACAAAAAACTTTGCTAATTAATTTTTGTATAGATTAAAATTAGTCATATAAAATACAGTAGTTTATCATTAATTTTTAAAAATAAATGATAAACTGTTTATGATCATTATTCTTTGTACAAGATGATCATATTCAAAGTTATGTGCAAGAATATCTGAAAGCTGAAATTCAGTTAAAATAGTGGAAAAACTTGATTGTTGTATGGTCAAGCAGTTAAAGATGACAGCTTACTTCTCTGGCAATCCAGGATCAAATCTCGACCAGTCAACAAAATTATAGGAATTTTTCAGGGAGTGGACTGTCCAGATATGTTGGGCATTATCCCTCACCATCCAGTTGCCCCATTATGGGCCTGGGTGAACCCATAATAGCTTGCAAGAAAAAGCCCCTCTTAGTGCCCACAGGAAAGAAAGAGTTTAAGAAAAACTGTAAAAAAGAAAAACTGTAAAAAAGTAAGAGTACTTTTTGGAACATGCAAAAGCAGGTTCTGTGGGGATAAATAGTTCAGAAAACCATCTCTAGAAGGAATTTGACACTGTGAATGAAGAGGAAGCATTGATGATGTGTTTTCTGTGCAATTGTAAAAGAAATTACTCTGAAATCTAAGTGTGAATTATGATTGATAAAAAAAGTTTTACCATGCCATTGATTTACATAAAGGACTACCATACAATGATGCTAAAATTGGTGGAAGCTACAACAAACTGTTCAGTTTGCTAGTTAAACTTATTTTATTACAAGTCATTATAAATAAATATAGTATAAAATGTTGTAAACTAAAAATTGTTTCAAGCTAGAAGTGAATCTTTTTATTTTGAAAACATTTTCAAAAAATTTTTCCATCATGAGATATGTAAAATTCAATAATTATTTTACAGTTAAAGATATTGAGTCAACATATAAATACTAACAAAATAAAAAATATGAAAATTAAAACTTCAATATATCGAACCTGAGTCTGGATTCACAAACACTTTGTATCATAAGTGACAACAAAATTTTTCGCAAGTTGTCAGATACAAAAAGTCTCATAAATACTATATCTAATAGCTCTTATAAACCAATGTACTGATGGTCGAGTATTTGGTTCCATCAATAGATATGTGAGGATAGCCAAGGGTAGAGAGTCTGGGTTAGACTTTCTACTACTTAATTGGCAATGGACCTGTAAGAATCTGTCCACTGAGTCATCGGATGGCATTAAACGGTTAAAAATGTTAACCAAGAAATGTTGAGACTAGGCGATTCTGAGATCGTCTTCTCTTGTCAGGATTTCTGACACCAGATAGGAATTCATGCCCTATCACGCGTTCAAGTTTAAATCTTAAAAAGGAGGGCTGTTACAATGACAAGTGGGGAGAGTCATGGTGCACGCTTAGTTTGAGAGCTGGACCTGAACTTAGTAATGAAACCATATTTAAACAACAAACAAGATTTAATAAAATAAAAGTAAAATACAACAATACAATATTGCAAAAATATTAAATTACTATTCTATACACGAGAGTAACAAAACCTATATATTCCTCACAAGAGAGAGAGTTTACAAATATATATTTATACTACATCAACATATGTAGAATTCGTAGTCTTATTCTATGGAAGGATGAGTATGGGAGGTGGAGAATGAATGCAGGATCTTCTTCTCTTATGAAGGTGCACAGGGTTAAAGTATGTCAAGGAGACTTCCTTTATGGCAGCCGACTGCCATAGTTCATGTGGCAATTACTTCTCTTGGTGATCTGCCTGGAATGGCGGGAAAATCTCCCTTTCTTAATGGGATGTCTGCCCAATAGCGTCAAAGGGACGCACGGGATGTGTAATGAGTGCAGGGAGGGTAAACTGACGTATGGCCATCGGAATTATAGATAAGGCCATGTGGGAAAGTAAGTTGATTTCCTTTTTCTCCAAAAATGATGAACAAAACTTCCCTTCATATAAACAACTTACAAAAATTTCAATGCTAAGTTAATTAAACAAATTCCGATTCTCACAGATAATCGAGTCGATTGATTTTTCCGATTGTTTATTCTAAACTTTTCTGATTCAAAACTTCTAAGATGTTATCAAATGACAAAAAAAATTGATAGAATTCTTTATGGTGGAATTAAAATTGTTTGTAGAATGTCCTGAAAAAATATCATTCATTATAATTTAATGTTATCTTTTTTTTTAACCAAAAAAACTTAGTTTGTCAATTTATTTTAAATTACTTCAATTTTTTATTAATATAACTACCAGTATCATTTTTGGTAGATTTTGTTCTATATCATCTATTATACATATAAATGATTAATCTAAAATTAACTAATTTCTATCCATTTCAATACTAAAGAAATGAAATGTTACCTCTTCTCAGACAACAGATTAAGTACTATGCACAGTGAAAAAATTCTAAAAGAAACATCTTTCCATTGGCTCTAATAAAATGGTCACTAGTGACATAAGACATATTTTTGTTATCAGTTTCTTGTTTTCTCGTAAATGCTATGATGTGTTTTGTGAATATGAAGTATAAAATATTGTTAGTTTCTCATAACTTTACGATATTGGAGAGAACTGTGTTGTATCTTATTAGAAGTTCGTGAATCCAGGCCTTGCTTTACAGCAACCTTTAGGGGACATGTCAAAAATGGATATTTTCCAATTTTAGTGGGAAGATGCTGACTATATTATTATTATTATTATCGTGTTTAGTGGGTTGTACTCAGTTCACACCGGTGGCTGTGTACTATGCCGGACCAGAGTCAAGGCATAGCAACCAAAATAAAACTAAAATTAAATAAGTGTGTCAGTGTCTGTATTAAGGAATTTCCTAAGAATATGGCATGTATTCAATATAGTGGCCTTCTGTAGTGTTATGTATGTATTTCTATTCAATTGTAATGTTCCCAGGCTTTTGTGTAGTGTGTGTGGTATCACACCTGTACGGGAGAGAACAACAGGTACAATAAGCACCCTATCCATCCTCCACAGATGCCTTATTTCCTGGGCGAGTTCTGTGTACTNATCAAACACAAAACTGTAATGTATATATTTTGTATCACACATCTTACAAATACATACCTTATATAAAGTAGTACATTAAATTAGGCCTACAGTTTAGGTTGAGAGGGAGGGGAAGAGTGCTGCAGCATCACAGCACTAGTGAAAATTTGAATTTTTTGACTGGAACGATTTCAGTTAACCAATGTTTAAGTTGATCAGTATTCGGATAATCGATGCTCTACTGTATCTGCATTTGAACAAGTTGTAGAAAAATTGCAAGAATCTCAACTACTGTTGACTAAAACAGTAATTACCATTATTACTGTGGAAAAACCTTAAGAAAAGTCTTCAAATTCAGTAGACACTTTAAATATAATTTAAAATTGATGCAGTATTTTGAAATATATAAAAATACATATTTATTGTTTTAGTAATACATTAATAATTTAAGAAATTTTCCATTATATTAATTTACAGCTTGTTATTTTTACAAATGTTGATTTTATGATGGGATGTTTTTCATTTTCAGCATGTTCCATGGCTAATAGAAACATGTATCAATATAGTGAATTCAAGAGGGCTCGACGTAGTGGTTTGTTGATTTAATATTTGAAAAATTTGTTCTAATAAGATTCCAACCATTTACAGGGTTATATTGTGACAAGTAGTTAAATCAAAAGTCCTATAAAGCCAGGCTACTTAAATCATACTTATTGCTAACTTGAATTCAAAATTGTTATAATATAATGTTTACCATTCCACGGTCATTTTTATTTTTAACTGGATTCACTTGAGGCACAGCCCAGTTTTGTTAATGCTTGTTTTCTTAACAGGTTGTTATAGTTACATATTGGCAGTTTCTTTTTGCTTTATTTGTGCTGTACATATTGGCAGTTTCATTCTGCTTTATTTGTGCTGTACATGCTCTTAATAGTAGTATGTGTCTATTGTGAGTTACCCATTTGTAGTGAATTTTGAATATTTCTTGTCTTTATTTCATGTTGCAAACTTGATCCAAGTGCATTATGTTAGACCAACGGTTCCCAACCTTTTTCGGGTGGCGACCCCCTTTTTATAAAAGCCAAGTGACCCGCGACCCCGATACAATTGAAAAAGATATTTTTAATAAGGTAATTAAAAAACAATGAAATTAGTTTTTTAGTATAATTTTATTTTAAATTATGTTTAATAATTAATTTAATGAGATGGTTGAAATTGCATGTATTATTAACCAGCCTCAAAATTTGCGGGTGAGATTTTGTTAACGCCTACCTCATGTCATTCTGAACATTTAATTTATTCCTCTCAAAACTCTCAACACATGTTTCAACCAACTGTGACAGAATAGCATACCCAGATTACACTTATTTTAATTTTTTAAAAATATATGAAATTATTCAAACTTTAAGACACCATTAAAAATAAATATTGCATTATAGTGAAAATTTTGTTTTAGTTTACTGCATAAGTTGGCGACCCCACAGAAAACCCGTCGCGACCCCCTTCTGGGTCGCGACCCATAGGTTGGGAATCCGTGTGTTAGACAGTTGTCAGATACTTAACCAAAAGTATAACAATTTAACAAAGAATTAACTAAAATATGTAATGGAAATAATAAATAGCCTTGTTTCTTCAAAGTTTTATATTTTGGAAACTGTTTTTTAATAAGTCTTTATTTTTGGATCATTTTTATAAATTAATATTTTTGAAGTTATAAATAAATTCACTTGTAAATAAAAAATTTTTCAGAATAAAAGCATTGGAATATGTCTTATATTAATTAAATTAATATGCATAATGTTTGCATGTTAGTTTAATTAATGCATCAATGAATAAACTCTTAATTAAATTACTATTATTATTATATATATATATATATAATAACACACACACACAAGTATCCCTCATATAACACAGTAGTCAGTAGTTACATTCTGAAAAACTGTCGTGTTATGCAAAATGTAGGGTTACATTCCAGAAGTTAGCAAAAGTATACTTTTCTTTTTACTAAGAGAGATATGTTTAGTAAAGCAATCAATAATTTATTTCCAATCAATAATTAACTAACAATCACAATTAAAAGTACTGTATTACACGTTAATATTAATTTTAATTAAACAAGGGTGTATGAAGTATTGTCGTCATCTCCGCTTTTTTGTTGATCTTGATCAGAAGTGGAAGTATCAGCAACATTTTCACATTTTTTATTTTTATCATAAAAAATTTTTATGGATGACAAAATAAAAATATGTTATTAATTGAAAATTTGTTTTAACAAGTCACATACATATAGTTAAAAAAAGGTTTAATAACACTTACATAAAAATATTTAAATAAACTTTACTAAATACGAAGATTAATGTATAAATAGAAATGACATTCTTAAGGGCTAAAGTCTGAAAGTAACGACAATGACACTTAGTTGATAGGAAAGTTAGACATGAAGGAAAAAAAATTGCACATATCAGTTTTTATTAAAGTAAACATGACAAAAAGCACAAAATAATTTGAAAATTTCAATATTCTAAAATCCATGAGCAAATTTGAGACAACACACATGCTTGCTTGAATAAAAAAGTAAAAGTATAGAATAATGAAGTTTACACTTAAAAATTGTGAAATTTTGTATGGAGGATTTCCAAAACCATGTTAGAGTGAAACAGGAAGTTGTGTTGTACGGGAGATATCCCCAATTTTCAAACTGTGTTGTAGAAGTATCCTGTTATATGAGGAATATCTGTATTAAATTATATATTTAAATTAATTAGATATAATTATTTCTATTTGAATAATGAAATGTTTATTGGAAAATTTTTTATAGATGAACTTGCTCTTCCGAAATTTGGCATGATATGGCGTGACAGAGTTTCACAAGGATGGAAAAAAGTTCACAGCACATCTTCTATCCCTCCAAAAGGAAGTAGTTTTGGAGTAAAATTGGAAGATTGCCCTACAAGTGAAAGTAATGAAGTGAGTGATTATTATATTACAGTTGAGTCCAGATGACATTCCTGCAGAAACAATGTATGGAAAATTTAATCCAAATTGTTTGTACTAAATTTTTTAAGTAAATAGAATACTATTAATCTGGAAGTAATCAAATCTTGCTTTACTTCATAAAAATAGTGATATTGGAAACCTGTGATGATATTGGAATCTATACAAACTATTTAAAATTATATTACAACATTTATAGAGTAATCCAGTTCAAAATGTTAAAAGAATAAATTGAATTTCACTCAAAATATAACAATAAATCATACAGTAGAGCATTGATTTTCTGAAACAATTCGGAACTGGGGTTGTTCAGATAACTGATCATTTACGAAAAAATATATCAAACACAAAACTGTAATGTATATATTTTGTATCACACATCTTACAAATACATACCTTATATAAAGTAGTACATTAAATTAGGCCTACAGTTTAGGTTGAGAGGGAGGGGAAGAGTGCTGCAGCATCACAGCACTAGTGAAAATTTGAATTTTTTGACTGGAACGATTTCAGTTAACCAATGTTTAAGTTGATCAGTATTCGGATAATCGATGCTCTACTGTATCTGCATTTGAACAAGTTGTAGAAAAATTGCAAGAATCTCAACTACTGTTGACTAAAACAGTAATTACCATTATTACTGTGGAAAAACCTTAAGAAAAGTCTTCAAATTCAGTAGACACTTTAAATATAATTTAAAATTGATGCAGTATTTTGAAATATATAAAAATACATATTTATTGTTTTAGTAATACATTAATAATTTAAGAAATTTTCCATTATATTAATTTACAGCTTGTTATTTTTACAAATGTTGATTTTATGATGGGATGTTTTTCATTTTCAGCATGTTCCATGGCTAATAGAAACATGTATCAATATAGTGAATTCAAGAGGGCTCGACGTAGTTGGCATCTACAGGATACCCGGAAATAACGCTGCAGTCAGTATGTTGATGGATACGGTCAATCAAGGAATCGACAAGGTTAATCTCGAAGATTACAGATGGAAGGATGTCAATGTTGTGTCTAGTTTATTGAAAGCATTTTTTCGTAAACTTCCGGAACCACTTCTTACGTCTCATCTTTATCCTAAATTTATTGCCGCTAGTAAGATAGAAGATCCCTTAAAAAAATTAACGACACTTAAAACTTTGGTTAGTGGATTATATTTTTTTACATTTTTTTAAAAATAAATGTTGTATAAAGATGATATCATATCACAATAGTGTAAGGATGGATAAATAAATAACTAGCTGGGGCAACTAGACATGCTGTTGCTTTTAGTTGTTATTTATCCACCTTTATAATTATAGTGATATATTCAGTAATTAGCTTTAGAAATTTTAAATTTTACTCTTAAACATTGTTAAATGCAAATTTATTGAGTAAATATTAATTTGCTTAATATTTCTAAAGTAAAGTTTTCTTTTTTGAACATGTTGCATTAAATCTTAACTGTATTTTACAGTATTAATTCTAATGATGATTGTACAGTTCATCTTATGCCATAATTCTGCAAAAAATTGTTATGAAACGTTTAAATTTGATACATTTATTAAAAATAAAGTTTGAAAAGAGGAAAGAAAAATTACTTTTAAAATTCATCACTAGATAAGAAATATGTTATTCAGAGATAACATATGTTATGCGCTATAATTTTTCCTTTCTTTTTGAAGAATATTCAAATTAAATTCTGTGTTTGTCTTATATACCCTTATCGTTAAATACTATATTTTAAGACATACAAGATACAATTTTTGTCCAAAAAAGGGCTAAAAATTATTCTGAGTTTTAAATATGAAGTTGTGATCTCCTGTAGGCTAATTAATTCCCCAAATGGCATTTACAAGGCTATATTCTGGTATTATTGCCGTTTCAGTTTTCAAGGCTATAGGTAACTTTTATTTAACCCAACTCTTTAATTAAACAATAACATTTTTACTTATTATATTAAATGAAAAACTCCAAAAATGGATGTAATTATTAAAATTAATTCCAAAAAACTTTACCTGTTAATAAACATTCCATTTTCACTGGATTTAAAGTGTTTTCAACCATGTATAAGAGCCATCTTTAGATTCTAGAATGGAACATAATAAATAGAACAGAAAGTAAATTTGAAATTAAAAGCATTAAAAAAAATCAGGTTTCGGAGTTGGAGTCGTGGAGTTTTGGTGTTTTAGCTGGAGTCAGAGACATCAAAAAATCCACCGACTCAGACTCCTTTTTACTTACCAACTTGTTATGTATATAAAACAGAAAAGTATTGGAATCATGTCAAATTTGACCCTCCAAGTATTTTTTGCAAATCTACACATTTGGAGACCTCCTGAACCCCTCAAAAAAGTCAGTAAAGGGGAAAAATTTGTGAGCGTGTGTGTTGGCATCTAATTTGTTTAATTTCTTTATTTTCTGTTCTGTGATATTAAACAATATCTCAGAATGGGTAAAGTTTAAGAAACGAAATGTGGCACTGTAGCTTGCGTATAAAGGGGCATTAATACTATTAAATTTTGGTTCTTAATTAAAGGTCGACAGGGTGAAGACCTAAAAGTGGTCATGTGTCATATCTCTTAATGAATATTTTACTCGTTATTAGCATTCAAAATTA